CAGGATATCTCTAAGGGGTTATATATATAAATTGGAAGCTCAATTGTGCTTACCACCCACAGAGTTCCAGGCAGGTAGATCGCATGAACTACTAAGGGCTATATAAGAAGCGGGCACCCTCATATAGATGTTAGAAGGTTAACTGAGCCCAAGAGTTTCCCTATAGAAAAATCTAACCCTATTCAGATTAATGTCATTAGTCAGCTAGACCTTTATTGGGCCACAGGAAGGACATAGGGGCTGACTGCTGATTATGCCTAAATTCGAGGCCACCTTATTATATAGGGCTAGGCCTCTCCAAGCCAATTTCCCAGACCCCAAATGCTGACAACTGTACATGGGACCAGCCCAAGTTAACTTTGGGGGATATCCAGGGGCAAAGAACTTGCATACTCCCACCTAAGTATAACCTCCAGCAATACAAAGCAGAGGAAATTTAGATCTCCTTTTCTTTAAGCAAGGAGGACTCTATGTGGCGCTGGGCAAAACCTGCTGTTTCTATGCTAACAACTCCAGGGTTATACAATAAAGCTTACCTTTAGTTAGGAAAAATATCAAGGAATGAGAGAAAAAAAAAAAGGAGACAGGGATCTGAGAATTGGTTTCAACAAATGTTTAACTGGTCTCCATGGCTAACAATTTTATTATGGGCCATTGCCGGTCCTCTGGCCATATTATGCTTACTTCTAACCTTGGGGCCACACATAACGAAAAACCTCATGAAAACTATACAGAGGAGAATAAATTCTGTAAAACTCCTTGTAGTTAAGGGACAATGTAGCCCTGTCCCAGAGAAGGGGGTGCGGGGTGAGTCAAGGATTTGACTCATCTATATAAAACCAGTGGGGAATGAACTGGGCTTTTTTAACAATCAAACTCCATTCTGAACAGTTATTCTCGCAGTAAACACCCGAGCAGTTTTCCAAAAAAAAACCAGGGACTTACACCCAGAGGAACCATAAAGATAAGGGGTTAATGATGGCCTTGGGAAACTTGGAGGGACCATAAAAAGAGAGAGATTAATTATTGCCCTGACCCCTGCAAACAATCCCCCCACCCCCACCCCTTTTTCCCCTGGAGCAGTCTGTATCATCCCAGGCACCAATTAAGCAGAGCCAGGAGGAATGTAGGGTTTTGTTTTTTGTTTTTTTCTGTAAATGTAGTTTTTTTCTGTTTTGTTTTTTTTTTGTTCCTATATAAGCAAAAAAAAAACACAAAAAACAAAGGAAGCTCAGGACTGGGATTTGGGGAAGTCCCCCCAGCCTGCAGTATAATGAAGTGCTCCTTTACAATTTGGTTGTGCGTCTCTGGTTATCTCGCTGACACCTTATAACACAACTCTCTGTAACCCCAAATGAACTAGCTATACAAAATAAAAACATTTTGTACTTGTGAATGAAAAAAGGAGTGCTGTAATAAATCATAGATTTCTAATTGGGCAGGTCACTCGAAAGCATTACCACCCTAAAGAAAGCACATAATCATCTAATCCTTGCTTTCTCCCACCTTCAAGGAATCTTCTTTATGTTCGTTCCCTCAATAATTTCAAATGCATAAAAGAAGTTGCACCTCTCCAAACAGGACATACAAATGGCCAAGAGACATATGAAGAAATGCTCAACATCACTAATCATCAGAGAGATGCAAATTAAAACAACAGTGAGGTATCACCTCACACCTGTCAGAATGGCCGCCATCAACAAATCATCAAACAACAAATGTTGGCGAGGGTGTGGAGAAAAGGGAACTCTGGTACACTGCTGGTGGGAATGCAGACTGGGGCAGCCACTATGGAAAACAATATGGTGTTACCTCAAAAAATTAAAAATTAAACTTCTATTTGACCCAGTGATCCCGCTTCTAGGAATATACCCTAAGAAGCCTGAAACACCAATCAGGAGGAATATATGTACCCCCATGTTCATAGCAGCACTATTTACAATAGCTAAGATCTGGAAACAGCCCAAGTGTCCATCAGTAGACGAATGGGTAAAAAAGCTGTGGTACATATACACAATGGAGTACTATGCAGCAGTAAAAAAGAAAGATCTCTTATCCTTTGAGACGACATGGAAGGACCTGGAAAGTATTATCCTAAGTGAAATAAGCCAAGCAGAAAAAGACAAATACCATATGATCTCACTTATATACGGGATATAATGAACATAACAGTCTGAGGAATACAGTAGACCCAGAAACATGGAAGTAGGGCACAGACTGACATCCCTCAGAAGAGGGGGTAGTAGGGGGTGGGAAGAGATAAACCACAGAACTTATGTGCATGTATGCATGACCAATGGACATGAACAACTAAGCCGGGGACGGGGCGGGGGTGGGGTGGGGAGGGGGATGCCAATGGGGTAAAAAAGGTAAAATATCTGTAACAAAAAATAAATAAAAAGTTTAAAAAAAAAAGTTGCAAACTGTTATTCTCTGAAGCATTTGAGATTTGTTTCCCAAGTCTCAAATAAACTCCTAAAAATTCTCCCTAGGTTTTGCCTCAAATAAACTCCTAAAAATTCTCCCTAGGTTTGTGTGTTCTCATGTTGACACACCCACTTATTTAGAATCCCTTAGTTATTTTTAGTTTGAGTCTGAAACAGCCATCTTGAGATCCAGGAAGAGAGATATTGTAAGTTCTGACTTACTGGTAGTACTTCCCAAGAGGACCAAGGGTGAGTGGCGGTATAAATATCATAACAGGGCAAGTCTGACAAGAATCATTTTATGGCAGGTACATCCTTGGGTCTGGGTGGGCTGGCCAGGCTACCAGTAAACCTTCTGGAAGACCACATTCTCAAGGTTCTAAGTGGCCTTTTCTGGTTATCTCCTATTTTCCTCTGCTTCCAGGGGAGGGTTGCACTTGACCTACCTCAGTTAAAGCAGTTTATAAAGAAGATGAAAACTGGAATCCCACAAAGAAAAGGACTGAAAGAATGAGTATCTGATGTCCTGTTTCTCAGCCTTTCTCAACCTAGTAACCACAAACCATTTGCAGAAACTGTCAGTGGCCCGGCCAGTGTAATTGTCAGTTCAAGGCACAGTGGTCAGTGGGGAGCCAATGAAGATTTTAGAACAAGAATGAGTTCTGGAAGGGTCACTGCCTGATCTGTAGAGGAAGGGTGGCTAAAGCTAAGTCAAAACTGAAGGTGTAGAGACCAGATGAGAGGCTTGGAATAGGGTGGTAGAATAACTGGAGGCAAATGTTTGGATTGGAGAATATTTAGGAAATAAAATTAACAGTATTAGATAACTGGCAGGAGAGTGGGATGGGGGTGAGGGAGAGGGAGGAGTCTAAATGACTCCCAGGCTTCTGGCTTGGGTCTTTGGGCAGCTGATGGTTAAAAGGGTTAATAATGTTTTAACAAAATTAAACTCCATTATTCCTGCACGTAAACACCCAAGCAGTTTTCTAAAAAACCTGGACTGATACCCAGAGGAACCACAAAGATAAGGGGGTAATGATGGCCTTGGGAAACTTGAAGGGACCATAAAAAAGGAGATTAATGATGGCCCAGACCTCTGCTGGAGCAACTCGTATCAGCCCTGAAACCAATTACACAGTGCCAAGAGAATGTGGGGTTTTTTTTAATGTAGTTTTTTTTTTTTACCGCCTGTAGTTTGTAACTATAAAACCCAGTGAACAAAGGGACTTCGCTGCTGAACTCTTTTCGAGGAGTCAGCCTGCCTGCACCCAGGCATATGCAATAAAGCCATTTTGCTCTACACTGGCCTTGTGTTGTGGATGTAATCGCCCGCAGGCTCAGACCTTTTAATGGTGTTGTAACGTGTCAGGGAGATAACCAGAGAGGCACAGCCGAATTGTAAAGGAGTACTTCATTACAGTGGGGGTTGGGGGGGAGGAGGGGGGACAGCTTCCCCAGATCCTCAGCCCCAATTCTTGCTCTTCTGCTTTTAAAGACAGAAGCTCACCCTGGCCAGTTTGGCTCAGCGGTTAGAGCATCGACCTGCGGGACAGAGAGACCAGGTTCGGTTCCCACTAAGGGCACGCACCTTGGTTGCAGTTTGTCCCCAGCCCTGGTTGGGTTGTGTGGGTGGCAGCCACTCGATGTGTCCCTTTCACATCGATGTTTCTCTCTCTCTCTCCCTCCCACTCTATCTGAACAAAAAATGGGAAAATGTCCTCGGGTGAGGATAAAGAAAATAAAAAACTGAGATTTCAAAAAAAATAAAGACAGAAGCCCCCCCCCCTTGCCCCCACCCTCAGGGGAGCGGTACAATAGTGGGTGTGACAGCTATTACAGAAGTCAAAATTAGCATTAATTAGCATTAATTCCGATATTCGGAAACTGCAAATACCTCCCAACACGTGGGGCAACTATAACCTTAGGCAAAATTCCTTTACTTCTAGGAGTTATTAACCAACTATTGGAAAAATACCGAGAAAAGTCCACTAATGACAAAAAAAAATAGAGTCATTTAGTCGCCTTGGCCAAGGGGCCCAGGTCAATGGGACTATTTCTGGGTTAGAGGAGGAGGGGAAGAGCTGGTTTGTCAGAAAGATGAGTTCAGGGCAAGTTGTGTTTGAGGCACAAAAGGGCCTCCAGCGGGAGGTGTCCAGGTGGTTGATAGTCAGGGTGTAGTGTTTGGGAGAGGGTTCCGGACTGGCCCGCACAGAAATGGAAAGGAAGCCATAGGGAATTGGAAAGGTTACCCAGTTTGGGGTGTGCGTAGGCGGGGCTGTCACGTAGTGGAGCGCTCGATCAAATGACTAAATGGCCCTGTAACCCTGGTCTCAACCTACTAGGGGTCAGAACCCGGCAGGGCGGGTAGGGGGAAAGTGGGGAGAAACCGGATTTGGCCCTTCGAGGTCCGTCCCTCCTGCCTGCCCTCTCTCCCTCCTCAGCCATTGGGCAACTCCATTGTCCATCAAGGGTCCGCCTCTTCAGATGAACCAATAAGGTCTGGCGAGAGGACGCTTCCTTCTTGAGTTGCACTAGTGGCATTCAGAGGGAGGCCGGGGTGGCGGCAGACGCGGCACCCTTGTGCAAGGGCGACACGAGCGGACAGAGCCCCGCGGCAGTGGCGCAAGCCGGTGAGAGTAGTGCGAAAGTCCGTGGTTGGGAAGGGGACGCGTACCGGTTAAGGACGCTTCTAACCCTCGCCGGCGTCTGGGCCTCCCACGCCCGCGGCTGGGTCTCAGGTGATGGGGTGGAGAGGGTAGTGAGGTGAGGTGAGCTGAGCTCAGGTGAGGTGAGGTGAGGTGAGGTGAGGTGAGGTGAGGTGAGGTGAGGGGGCGGGCCTGCACCCGCAGGGAAGAGCTGGGCTCACAGCCATAGTCATCCCATTCGCGCCACGTGGGCTCGCGACCAGCCAAACACCCTTGCTGCTACAGGAACACTGGCTACCTACTTTAACCCCCGGAGTAGCCTTGAGAGCTCGGCTTCTCGACTGAATCCCCTTATTTTACAGGCTGGGAAGCTGGGGCTCAGCGACGTGGCCGCGTCCGATTTTGAGGGAGATCAGGCTGGGTGGACTCAAGAGACTGCACTTTTATCAATGAGACCGTGGGTGAGAGACTTGGACTTAAGACCTGTTTGTTTCGTTTAAGAACGCCAAATTTTTTGGATAGGAGCTGCGGCAGACCGCCTTGTGCGGGACCCCGCTTACCTGGCTTCTCTGCAGTGTCTGGTGCAGGGAGAGGGCCAGGCGCCCTCTGTTCAACCTGACCCACCGCTCCTGTGCCAAGTTCAACGGGGCGGGCTAGGGGAAGGAGGATGATCCTCAGTTCTGGGAGCTCGGATACCCCCAACAAAACAAACTTGAGAAGGGCAGGATTCATAAACGAAATCCGAAAACACGTGGGAAAAGCTCTTTGTCCCGGGTCACTCGAGAAAATAGAGCAGCCTTTTTTTTTTGGTCTAAGGAAAAATACCACCAAAAGCTGTTGAAGGTGCTAGGAATCTGTTTCCTTCATGCCTTTGCGGAGGCAGATGTGAACCTTTTGGAAATGAATTTGGCAATACATATCTACACCCTTTGACCTACTAATTTATATTTGGGAAGTAAGGATAAAATCTAAGTAGGGGAAAAGTTGACTTATAAGGCAATACAGTTTGATGTTTTATAAATGGCAGTGGAATTGACCTTCTTATCTCCAACAACAGAGAATAGTTAAGTTAAATTGTGATTGTTTACTATACCAAAATGGGATACTATACATCCATGAAATATAATATGAATAAAATGCTCTTAACAGGAAAGCTGGATTCAGAGTTGTGGTTAGAATTATATAAATATGTGTACAGAATGACTGGAGGATAATACAACTAATGATAAAAGTAATAGCTACCTCTTTTGGAGCAGAAGGGTAATATTTCATTAAGTCTTCACGAAACCTTGAGACTAGTATTCCCATCCCACCCATGGACAACTGGAGCTCAGGCAGTGTGTCTGATACTAGAGAGCTAGTGTTATACCTAGTGTGCTATTGGGCCTTTAAGAATATAGTATTTAGCCCTGGACGGTTTGGCTCAGCATTTAGAACGTCGGCCTTCGTTCCAGAGAGATCTGGGTTCAGTTCCCGCTAAGGGCACGTACCTCGGTTGCAGTTTGTCCCCAGCCCTGGTTGGGTCGTGCGGGTGGTGGACACTCGATGTGTCCCTTTCACACCGATGTTTCTCTCTCTCTCTCTCTCTCTCTCTCTCCCTCTCTCCCCCTCTCACTCTATCTGAACAAAATATGGAAAAATGTCCTCGGGTGAGGATAAAAAAGAAATACAATATTTAGCCCTGACTGGTGTTGCTCAGTGGTTAGAGTGTCAGCCTATACACCGAATGGTTGAGGGTTCGATGCCCAGTTAAGGGCACATACCTAGGTTGTGGTTTGATCTCCTGTCCTGGTCAGGGTGAGCGCAGGAAGTAACACAATTGATGTGTCTCTCACATCATGTTTCTCTCTCTCTCTTCCTCCTCCCTCCCTCCCTTCTGCTTTCTCTAAAAAGCAATGGAGCCCTGGCCAGTTTGGCTCAGTGGTTAGAGCGTCAGCCTGCGGACCAGAAAGTCCCAGGTTCGGTTCCTGCTAAGGGCACGTATCTGGGTTGCAGTTTGTCCCCGCCCCTGTTGGGGTCCTGTGGGTGGCAACCAATTGATGTGTCTCTCTCACATCTGTGTTTCTCTCTCTCTTCCTCCCTCTCTCCTTCCCTCTCTATCTGAAGATAAATGCAAGAATGTCCTTGGGTAAGGATTAAAAAAAAAAAAAAGCAATAGAAAAAATAACCTTGGGTGAGTAGTAACAACAACAAAAAATCCAGTATTTAGGGCTTGCTGTGTGCAGGTACACGGCTGGGCCCTGGAGAGCCACTGGTAAGGCAGCCATGGTTCCTGAATTCATGGAACTTACAGGCTAATGGGAAAGCAGATATTTAAATAAACACTTAATGTCTCCTGAGGAGAGTGAACATGGGAACTAAACACTGGGCTCTAGCAATGGAAAGGATTTGGGAAGGAGAGGAAAAGGGAGGCCCTGGGTCAGCTGGGAGGAATGAGTGAGCTCTGTGGGGAAGCCCACAGTGGCTCTAAGAGTAGAAAGTATATTCAAAACAAACCATGTATTTCGCATTTTCTGGGATGTGTTTATGTGTCATAATGGGAAGTAGGGAGACTTGCTTAGATATTTTGAGTTTAGTCAACTCTTAAATAGTTTACCTTAAATATTTTTGTTCAGGATAGTAGCAAATTAAATGTTTTCAGAAGTCATTGTTATTGAGAAATTAAATTTAAAAAATTTTAAACTCTTTAATTTTCAGGTTTAAAAAAATCCTTTTGCTGAAGAAACACATTTGCTGGTATAGTTTCAGAATGTCAAGTACTATGTCCTACTGGATCTTAAATTCTGCAAGGAATAGCATTGCCACATTACAAGGGGGTGGGCATTTATATGCAAGGTGTGCCTCAAGTAGGAATAAATTAAAAAGGATGCTCTTTTCCTGGGCATCAACCACCCTAAAAAACAATGCCCCATGTAGTGGCTTTGCTCTTCCAAAAGCCTACAGACACACATCGACAGAGGAAGACGATTTCCACCTGCAGCTCAGCCCTGAGCAAGTAAATGAAATGCTACGAGCTGGTGAGTCAGCCCACAAGATTCTTGATCCCATCAGTGGAGTCCCAAATTCAGTGTTGCAGTTTGAGAGCAACCAGCTGGCTGCCAATTCCCCAGTGGAGGACCGGCGAGGTGTGGCCTCCTGCCTGCAGACCAATGGGCTGATGTTTGGTGTCTTTGATGGACATGGTGGCCATGCGTGCGCTCAAGCAGTAAGTGAGAGGCTCTTCTACTACATGGCAGTGTCACTGATGTCTCAGCAGACCTTGGAGCAGTTGGAAGGAGCAATGGAAAGCATGAAGCCCATGCTGCCCATCCTACAGTGGCTTAAGCACCCAGAGGACAGTATCTACAAGGATGTCACATCAGTGCACCTTGATCACCTTCGGGTCTACTGGCAGGAGCTGCTTGACCTGCACATGGAAATGGGACTGAACATGAAGGAAGCATTAATGTACTCCTTCCAGAGACTGGATTCTGACATCTCGCTGGAAATTCAGGCCCCTCTCGAAGATGAGATGACAAGGAACCTTTCACTCCAGGTTGCTTTCTCTGGGGCAACAGCTTGCATGGCCCATATTGATGGGGCTCATTTGCATGTGGCAAATGCTGGTGACTGCCGGGCCATCCTTGGTGTCCAGGAGGACAATGGCATGTGGTCTTGTCTGCCCCTTAGCCACGACCACAATGCCTGGAACCAGGCTGAACTGTCACGATTAAAGAGGGAGCATCCTGAGTCAGAAGACAGGACAATCATCATGGACGACAGGCTGCTGGGCGTCCTTATGCCCTGCAGGGCATTTGGAGATGTCCAGCTGAAGTGGAGTAAAGAGCTTCAGCGCAGTGTCCTGGAGAGGGGCTTTGACACTGAAGCCCTCAATATTTACCAGTTCACTCCTCAACACTACTATACCCCACCCTACCTGACTGCTGAGCCTGAGATCACATACCACAGGCTAAGGCCCCAGGATAAGTTCCTCGTGCTGGCCTCAGATGGTCTATGGGATGTTCTGGACAATGAGGATGTAGTGAGGCTGGTGGTGGAGCACCTAAGTGAAGCAGGTCAGCACAAGCCAGACCTGGCCCAGAGACCGACAAACCTGGGACTTATGCAAAGCTTGCTGCTGCAGAGGAAAGCCAAGGGCCTTCACGTTGCTGACCAAAATGCAGCCACACGTCTGATCAGACATGCCATAGGGAGCAATGAGTATGGGGAGATGGATCCGGAGCGGTTGACTGCAATGCTGACATTGCCAGAGGACTTGGCGAGGATGTATAGGGATGATATCACTGTCACTGTGGTGTATTTTAACTCAGACTCAATTGATGCATATTACAAAGGACTTTAAGAATCTCCCATCCTATTGCCAAGGTTAACTTAAATGTTCTTCTCAGACATTTTCACTTACTTTTAAACTGGCTATTCAAATCTAACTGTTAAAAGTGCAGTCAGGTGTAGCTTGCTTAATAGTAGACTAATGTGAGATGATAAAAAAGAACAGCCTAAGTTTAAAAACAATAGCAATGCCCTGGCTGGTTTGGCTGGTTTGGCTCAGTGGTTAGCGTGTCGGCCTGCAGACCAAAGGGTCATGGGTTCGATTCTGGTCAAGGACACATACCTTGGTTGCGGTTCGATCCCTGGCCCTGGTTGGGGTTGTGTGGGAGGCAATTAGTCAATGTGTCTCTCACATCAATGTTTTTCTGCCTCTCTCTCTCCCTATTTATCTGAAGATAAAGAGAAAAATATCCTCAGATGAGGATTAAAAAACAAAACAATAGCAATGATTTCATGTCCCTGCATATTTTGGTTACCTCCTCTATGCAGGGAGGGCAAAGCATAGAGACACAAGAATTGGCTTGGGCTCATGTAACTCAGGTCCTTTTATAAAGACACTGTTGATAAACTGTGTCAGCCTGAGCCTCCAAAGGATAAATTTAATCAAATTCTAAACATATGAAGAACTTTAGGATCTTCTGAGGTTTTGCTACAAAATCTGCAACTTGATAACTTTCCTCAATTCACAAGCATGAAGGGAGGTTTTGCTTGTTTGTTTTAATTACTAAGACCTAGGTTTACAAAGAATATTACAGAACATTTTTCTGTGCAATATTCAAACCACTTTTGTAATTATTCTTGTGAAAACATTTTGTAGTGCTGCATTCTGGTCCTATTTTAGTTTATTTTAAAACTGAGCCCTCAGACTTACAAACAGGCCTGCTGTCAGCATGTTTGGAATGGCCTGTCTTGGTTTTCAGCTGAGGATGAGAGGGGCTAGGCCTCTGGACCATGGAATTTACTTGTGCAGCTTTTGGTCCCTTCCACTGGGTCCTACCCCCTGAACCTTTGAGCCGTACTTGGAGGTAATTTCTGTCTAAGCCTTAACTCCTGGCCATTCCTATATTAATAATATTTTCTCCAGGGTTCAAGCCTCTGGGGGTTTAGTGATAGCACTTAACCTTTCTGATTATACCTCTCAAATATTCTTGTTAATTCCTACCTTTTCTGTGCTGTACTGCCTCATCCTGCTGCTTCTAACTGCAAAGAATGCTTCCATTTCAAGTGGTTGCAGAGAAAGAGAACACGTGACCTCCTTGTGTCTAACATTTAGGCAGGGCTGGCTTATGCAGTGGATTATAGACTTAAGATTTAGCCTGAATCTGGAGAGGTGAAACAGAAAGGACCTGTGAATAGTCACTAACCAATGCTCCTGAGAGGCGGTGGAGAGGAGGACAAAGGGAAATTTGTCAGATGGGACACTTGTCCCAAGAATGGGATAAATCGCATTGCTTCTCCTTAGGAACTGGACCATAAATAGTATAGGAGCTGGGGCAAAAATAAATGTAACCTGTAGTGGTTTCTGTGGGCTGCACAGACTTGTGTCTGTTGGAAAATTAAACCATGTGAATCCTTTTTTGGGAGATGAGTTTCATGTTATGAATTACAGTGGCATTTAAACGACAGAAAAATGTGTCCCTAAGTGGAAACACAAATATAACCCCACAAAACTGACTTTTGTTTTTTTTTAATCCTCACCTGAGGACATTTTTTGTTCAGATAGAGTGGGAGGGAGAGAGAGAGAGAAACGTTGACATGAAAGGGACACATTGAGTGGCTGCCCACACAACCCAATCAAAGCCAGGGACAAACTGCAACTGAGGTACTTGCCCTTAGTGGGAACCGAACCCGAGTCTCTCCAGCCCGCAGGCCAACGCTCTAACCACTGAGCAAACTGTCCAGGATGTGTTTTTGTGTTTTGTTAATCCTCACCCGAGGATATATCTTCCTGTACTACATTAGTTTATCCCTCTCATCTCACCCCCTTATGCTATCCACTGAAAGAAAAGCAAATAACTAGGATTGACTTCCTCATTGTTGTCCATGCCCCAGTGACATTCATTCAAGTGTTGGTATACTTCTAGCTTGGGGACATTTCCCTGTACATTTTCAGTGCAACTGATTAATGATAGGGCTTCACTAAGAAGTTCTCTTCTACATGCTTAAGCCTTGGTTCTTTTATTCTGAAGCTATCAGTATTTCTTCTAATCTAGATCTTAACTCAGAATTAAAATATGATTCACTACCATTCTGCTCACATGAAGGTTTATTGCTAGAGCTGAAGACTGCTTGTCTGACAACCTTTGTTCTTCATGTCCACTAAACCCTGGCACACCCTCGAAGCATTTACCTGGAGTACAGAGTATGAATCCTATTTTGGAGCAGCATGGTCATAAATGTAACTGATTCAGTAACTTGTAGGACAGCTGAGAGAATACGGATATCCCAGCTGTTTCTCCAAGTGTATCTGTTTTTTCTCTGCCTAAGAGATTTCCTGCTTTCTAATTGGTATATTGAAAGAAGAAGACCAGTTTATTGTCTGCCTTTTTCCACTGTGAAGTCTTGTCAGCCTTTTCCATGAATGCTCCAAGGAATACCTCCTGGTTTAACTCCAGTGTGTATCTCCTCCTGGTTTAACTCCAGTGTGTATCTCCCTGACCACAGTTCTGTGGTCATTGACCTTCCTGAAACATGTCGGCTACTGCTTGAGGACACTGGGGTTAAGAGGGAGTTGGTGGTACTTGTCAGTTCTTTGAAAGCATTTATCATCGATTCCTTTTAGATTTCAATTTTGAGACTTCTAAAATGACCTAAAAATTCAGATTGAATCTTTAATATTTTGGTCATGACTTTTGAATAAAGCATGCTTTGGTGCTTTAAATTGCATATTTATTATTTTAGGTAAAAAAACTTTGGTAATAATTGGCCTACTTTAGGTATTTTACATGTAAGTAAAATACACCTCTACTGATTCTGGGAATTGATCAGAATGGATAGGGAAGATGGTATTAATTCTAAATTCAAATTAGTATAGGTCAAGTTACTTAGATTCAGTTTCCTGAGATGTTAATTGTAATGTTAAAGCTAATTTATTATAATGCAAATGTAAACTTTGAGCTATGTTAACATATAAACATATCACCCAGAAGTATGATTGGCCTAAAACATCTCTAGTATTGGGCACACTGGGTAAAGTTCAGGTTAGACACAATTGATTTGGCTGGTACCTTTTATACATAAGTGAAATAGAAACAGTTCACACTTGAGTTAAAGAAGAGGATAATTAATTGTATGGAACAAGAAAATGTGTTCAGGATAAGTCTGGCTTGACTCTTTTGTCCATCAGTCCTTGGTGACCTATGTTCATTTGACAATTTAGAGGAAGCCTTAACTTCCCAGGTTAAACCAGAAAGTCCTGGAACTGAGCCAACCTAGTTTCATCTTAAAAGTGGTATATTTGTCCCAGAATGTCACTCTTTCCCATGACAGAATAAGCCCGAGTGTAGCTTTGGAACTGGGGCATAAAGGCTGGTGGAACCGCTTGTCCTGCTGCTATGTTCATCCCTGAATGGAAAACATGTTTGGACTGCTGTGCAACCATCTCCTGAACAGGCTGAGGCTCTATTCTTTTTTTTTTATCCTCACTCGAGGACATTTTCCCATTTTTTTGTTCAGGTAGAGTGAGAGGGAGAGAGAGGAACACAGAGAGAGAGAGAAACATCGATGTGAAAGGAACACATTGAGTGGCTGCCACCCGCACGACCGACCAGGGCCGGGGACAAACTGCAACTGAGGTAGGTGCCCTTAGCGGGAACCGAACCCGGGTCTCTCCAGACCGCAGGTCGACGCTCTAACCGCTGAGCCAAACCGGCCAGGGCTATTCTTTTTTTTTTTTAATCCTCACCCAAGGACATTTTTCCATTTTTTGTTCAGGTAGAGTAGGAGGGAGAGAGAGGAACAGAGAGAGAGAAACATTGACGTGAAAGGGACACATCGAGTGGCTGCCACCCGCATGACCAACCAGGGACAGGGACAGGGACAAACTGCAACTGAGGTACGCGCCCTTCGTGGGAACCGAACCCGGGTCTCTCGGGACCGCAGGCTGATGCTCTAACCGCTGAGCCAAACCGGCCAGGGCTGAGGCTCTATTCTTTATGCCTCAAGCACCTAACATTTAACCTACCTCCTGGAAAATATCTTTTTTTTTCTTTATTGATTTTAGAAAGAGAGGAAGGGAGAAGGAGAGAGAGACAGAAACATTGATGAGAGAACATCAATTGGCTGCCTCCTGCTTGCCCTCCCCTCCCCCAGGGGATTGAGCCTGCAACTTGGGAATCTAACCTGCAACCTCTTGGTGCATGGGTCGATGCTCAACCACTGAGATACACTGGCCGGGCCTGGGAAATATTTCCTTTTTTTTTTTATCCTCACCCAAGGGAAGGGAGAGAAACATTGACTGGTTGCCACCCACACGACCCCAACAGGTGCCGAGGACAAACTGCAACTGAGGTACGTGCCCTTAGTGGAAACTGAACCCAGGACTCTCTGGTCTGTGGGCCGACGTTCTAACTGATGAGCCAAACCGGCCAGGGCTAGAAAATATTTCTTAATCAAGCATTTACTTGAAAAAGTTATTAACCATGTTCTTTAATACTTACTGACATTTGTATTTTAAGCTGTATATCAATGTTCGTATTTGACATTGATTTTCTTTTTTTTTTTTTTTTTTATCCTCACCCGAGGACATTTTTCCATTTTTTTGTTCAGGTAGAGTGGGAGGGAGAGAGAGGAACAGCGAGAGAGAGAAACATCGATGCAAAAGGAACACATCGAGCGGCTGCCACCCGCACGACCAACCAGGGCCGGGGACAAACTGCAACCGAGGTATGTGCCCTTAGCGGGAACCCAACCCGGGTCTCTCCAGACCGCAGGCCGACGCTCTAACCGCTGAGCCAAACCGGCCAGGGCTGACATTGATTTTCTAACCATTAGAGATATTTAAATGAAACTTGTAAATAAAATAGGCACAAAGAATCTACCCGAAAGAGAAGTGTTCTCTGGAAATTTTTTAGCTGTTAGACCACACAGGAAGTCCTCATTTAGTGTTAAACATGTGTTTAGGGACCTGAAAAGGAGGAAAAGGAAGTGAAGGCTTTATTTTATTTTTATCCTCACCCGAGGACATTTTTCCATTTTTTGTTCAGGTAGAGTGGGAGGGAGA